AAAGCAACAGAGGGTCCTGTGGCACCTTTGAGACTAACAGAAGTATTGGGAGCATAAGCTTTCGTGGGTAAGAACCTCACTTCTTCAGATGCAAGGGCCCTTTCAACTACACCCAGCCGTTGCCATCAGAGGCTTTTTTGGAAGGAGCCGCAGGACTCCGTCTAGCCTCTTGATGTCCACATCACAAAATTTCTTTTGGCCTCTTTATGGGCAGTCCCAGCAAGGAAGGGCAGGACTGCATGTCCACAGAGCCTGAGCCCCTCCTTGGTGAGGAATGGCTGCTCTAGGGCACAGCCAAAGGTACTGAAAAAAAGTTATTAAACGCACACTTAGTTCACTAAGCCTCCCTGTCTCCAAAGCTTTCCAGGCCCCAATTACTGTCCCATGTATCAGATCTGAGCAAGTGATGAAGCTTCGCAGCGCAAGGACTTAGGGCTGGGGTCATTCACAGCACTGCTGAAACAATACCAATCGCACATTCTAGTTGGAATTGTTAAGGGAGCCTAAAGGAATTTCTATGCAGGAATTGGATACCCCACTGCCCTGGGTTCCTGTGACGATCCCAGTCTTTATCACCTCAAATCTAATGGGAAGATAGTCACATGGTACCTTGAACCAAAATATTTGTCTTCTGATGCAAGGCAACTGCCTTCCTCTCTCTTCTGATATTCAGAACAATGACAGTGTTTACACAGCTGCTCTAAAAACACACCATGCTGCCCTGTCAGGTTAAAGGTAAAACAACCATGTTAACGAACAAAATTATTCCCCTCAAACTCTTCCATACCCTAGAAATTTGTCACTGGCATCCAATAATTATACTCAAGTCACTCTGCACATTGGTACAGGCAGCATGCTCACAGCGTGTACATTTCTGCTCTGCACACAGATGCCTGAACTGTCACAGTGAAGCTGAGGGACCAGAGTAGAACTCTTTCCCCTCCCACGCCTTGTCCAGGTACACACTAATATGTTTCCAGCTCATTCATGCTTGAAAAAATATTAAAGCTACAAGTGAAAAACCTTTTATTCAGTCATTATAACAAATAGCAAAATAAAACGGCTTTTTTATTCCAAGACATTACTTCCAATGCTTGCCCAGGTCAGAACTTCCTCTGCCAACGCAGTTATTTTCATGTCTCAATCAGGGATTCTCAAACATCACCATTCACATACCCCTTGTAGTCCCTTCATTAAACAAGTGGTTTTAAACATTCAAATGCTCATTGCAAATTTGCATGCAGGAAAGAAAGAAAAAAAAGAAACCCAGCTGACATCCTGTCACTATTCTCACAAGGAAGAGATGGAATACAGAGTCAAATATAGTAGCAAATTTACTCTGGAAGGTAAAAGAGGTTAAACGTATAAAACAATGGAGAAACTGTGTCAGACGCCAACACTGGATTCAGTCTGTCAGAGAAAGTCATGGCGTCAGCTTTGCTCTAGCTAAATTATGATAAAACCCCCCCAATTATGTTAAGATTTCACTTTATCATCTCACAAGCTGCAGTAACTAAGGGCATGTCTACACTGCAGCAGGCAGCGAGCCTCCCAGCCCGGGTAGACAGACTCACGCTAGCGCAACTAAAAACAACAGTGTGGACAAGCTACAATGTCCACAGTGCTATTTTTAGTGCACTAGCTCAAGCTAAGATAGCACCAGTCTGCCTAGCTGGGCAGGGCAGCATGCTCGCTGCTGCAGTATAGACACACCCTAAGCTGTAACAGGTGGAATAATTAGGCTGTAAGATTGTGTTTTAAATTAACGTTGTACTAATATTGGCTACTTCTTTTTCTGTGTTTTTCCTCATTCTTTTATAGTGAAATTGTATGGTATAAAAAGTCCTATTTATTCCACATAGTTTTACATGAAAGTCATATAAAAAGGTTCAATACACTTTGGCTTTTTTTTTTTTTTTTTTTTGCTAGTAAAAAATGTTTGATAAAAACTATGCATTAGTTACTAGATGCAAATCTTTACCATGAGTGTGAAACAATCCTGAATGAGTGAGACCACCCTCAGTATAAACCTCAACCCCACCCCCCAAAAAAGAAAAGTTCTGCTCGTCCCACGCTCTTCCTGTTCTCTATGCAGAATCCTATTCGCAAATGCTAGTTATGTGAGAGCTGGGGTAGTGATTTAATTTTTCTATTGCAGTGTTGTCTAATGTAGTACATCGGTCTGGAATCTGAATTTAAGCTATAAACCTCAGGTTTTCCAGTAAATAAAAAAATATATAGAAAGAGATAAAGGCTTTTCTTATACCGCAAATCGAGTTATCAGTTTTCTCATGCAGTAACTGATGGCAGCTTTCATTTTACATTTTCAAGTACAGGCAAAGTAGTAGTCATTCAAGCTGTGAAAATATTAAAGAAAATGAATACGAAAAATATTGGAAACAGCAAAAATTCATCACGTTTCTATCTGACTGGGGCCGTGTTGTTACAAAAACACCCAGACAGGTTGAGCGCTCTGATGAGTTTAGCACGCTAATACCAATGGCAGCATGTGGCAGGATAAGGAACAACAGATTATAAATGAAATAAGCTGGCCACTGACAACGGTGTTTGAACTCAGGCTGGAGCCACCAAGTATCTGTGTGTAGGTTGCAAAATAAAATAGTGATTGATAAACAGGCTTTCCTGCCAAGTGAGAGGAGATGGCTTGGGGGGAATAGATGTTCTCTCCTGCCATTATGCTAAGCCCTTTATTTCCCCCCAGTTGATTTTGCATATATATCTATAGCTATCTATCTATATATGTGTGTGTGTGTATGTATGTGTGTGTATCTATATATATCTATTTATAGATATATATACACACACACACACACACCATCATAAAAATCTATGGACTCTTCACAGCTGCATACTTGAAGACTTAAAAACAAATCAAATTGCACCTTAATGGACCACATGTATTAC